GCAGAGGACTTGTCTAAAGGCAATAGAAGGGATTCTCGTTGGAAATATAACTACTTGAAGGACCCTGATGACACACATGATTCACGCGCAATTTTTGTGGAAAAAAAACCACGGGTGGAATTAATCGAGCAAAACAACATTTGATCGGGAACTTTAGGAATGTAGTGAAGTGTAAAAAATGCACAGAGGAGGTTAGAGAGGAACTGAAAAATTACATGGAGGAGAAAAAATTAAGAAAGGAAGTCCACACTAACGAGTTTCTCGAATTTGATGAGTTTGAATATCAAGACAATGTTGGTGGAGAAGATGATGTCCAAGAGATCAATCATAAGGAAAGAGGCGGAGGAAGCTTTCCTAGTGGCTCTAATAAGAAACTGCCCAAAGGAAAGGGACCTATGGATATATTTCTACAAAAGCGTGGAACACTTAGGCAAACAAACATCAAAGACTCATGTGATAAAGAAGCAAGAGCAATGATGATTCAAAAATTCGCTCGCTTCTTTTATGATAATGAGATCCCATTCAATGTAGCTCCCTCGAAAAGTTTCAAGGAAGCAATTGAGGCAGTAGGAAGGTATGGTCCAAACTTGAAGCCTCCAAGCCACCATGAATTAAGAGTTCCATACTTAGGAAGGAAGTTGAGTTGACCAATGAGATTATAAACAAACATAGAGAAGAATGGGTGAAGTATGGAACTTCCATTATGGTAGATGGTTGGACAAATAGAAATCAGAGAACTTTGATAAACTTTTTGGTGAATTCTCTACATGGAACAATGTTTAGTGAGTCGATAGATGCTTCCTCACTTGTTAAGACGCTGAGAAGTTATATGAATTGCTTGATAGATATGTGGAACATGTCGGAGAACAGAATGTGGTTCAAATTGTGAGTGATAATGGTAGCAACTTTGTATTGGCTAGTAAGGATTAATTGCTTTAAAAATCTAAAGTTTTATGTTTTACTTTCTAATATCGATCAAAGATTTGATTTCTAAATTTAAGCATATCTATTTCCCCTTTCTTTTTCTATAGGTCAACTGTTACAGGGAAAAAGACCAAACATGTTTTGGATGTCATGTACAGCTCATTGTATAGATCATATGTTTGAAGACATAGGAAGATTCCTATCATCAAGAAGGTCCTCCAAAAAGCAATTGCCCTTGTCGGTTTCATTTATGGACACTCAGGTAACTTAAATATGATGAGAGATTTTACTAAAAATAAAGAGTTGGTGAAATGTGGGATTACTTGATTTGCAACGAGTTTCCTGACTTTGCAACGGTTGCAATATCAAAAAATAAATCTGCGAGCAATGTTTACATCTGACAAATGGGTGATTAGTAGGTAGGCTAAGTTAACAAGGAGGAAAAGTGCAATACATACTGACTTGACAGCAACATTCTGGAGTCAGGTTTCTAATATTTTGAAGATAATGGGGCCTATTGTTAAGTGTTGCAATTAGCTGATAATAAGAAAAAACCTATCATTGGGTACATTTATGAAGCCGTGGATAGAGCTAATGAGGCTATTGCAAAGGAATTTGAAGGGAATGCTGCAAAATATAAAGATATCATTAAGATTATTGATGAAAGATGGCAATGCCAATTGCATCATCCATTACATGTTGCTGGACATTATTTAAATCCAGAGTTCTTCGCTCAAAATCTAGCTATTGAGAATTGTCCTAAATTAAACAAATGGGTTGTATGAGTTTCAAAAAAAAAACAAATGGGTTGTATGGTTGTATTGAAAAATTGGTTACAAGCAATGAAGTACAAGACAAGATCATATCACAAATACCATTGTACACAAGAGCTGAACAACAATTTGGCCTTCCTATTGCAAAAAGAGCTAGAACGAAAAGAACTACTGGTAAGTGAATATAATAATATTAAAATTCTTAATTATTTAGTTTATGTTTAAAAGTTTACTTAATACTTCTTACCTAGTACTTAGGTAATCTCTTATACATAATGATGTCTACATAACACTTTTTACAGGTGAATGGTGGAATTTATATGGTAATTCAGCTCCCAATCTCCAAAAATTAGCCATTAGAATTTTTGGTTTAACGGCTAGTTCTGCTGGATGTGAGAGTAAGTGGAGTGTGTTTGAGCATGTAAGTACTAAGTCCTCATAGTGGTATACATCATATTTATTAATTTTCTTTGCATAGTTAATCTATTAGACTAATTTACTAACACTACCCAATACAACAGATCCACACCAAAAAAAGAAACAGATTGGAGCATCAAAGATTGAATGATCTAGTGTATGTTAAGTATGATCATGCTTTCAAAGCTTGTTATGACTTGCGGAATGTCATTGATCCAATCTCGTTGGATAACATTAATCATAGTAATAAATGGTTGGTTGAGAAGATGGGTACTAGTATGGAAGCAAAAGATGAATTGGTGTTTGGTGATGACAACTTAACTTGGGGTGATGAATCAAGAGAGCAGTGAGGATGTGTTGACATACACAAGGCGACAGAGACAGTCGAAAGTTATCAAAACTAATGCCTCAAGCTCCCGAGCTCCACGTATTCACACAAAAATGAGGTTGATTCAGATGAGATAGGGAAAGAAGAGATTGAAGGCTATAAATCTATTGATAGTGATGCCAATGAGAATCACTCTATTGAAGAAGATGATATGGAAGAATATTAATTTAGTGATTAGAAGTAGAATATATAAGCAACATATGTTATGATAAACCAATTTTCAATATACGCACTATATATTTACTATTTTTGTGTCTATTATGTTCTATAAGTATTATATATATGTATATAATTTTTTTATTTTAAAAAAAAAATTCTTCATAGTGCGCTTTTTTTAGTGAAGCCCACGCTTTTAAGGCGCTCTACGCTTTAAGCTCCATCAGGGCTTTAGCACTTCTTTTGCGTTTTTCGCTTTTGACAATACTGCAAGTACCCATGGAATATTCCAACTACCATCTTACCAAAAGCCAACTTGGACCCCTCCCATGCAGGGCCATAAACTCCCCAAAACCCCATATACTATCTCATTCCCGATATACTAAGTCTTGCCACTAACATAAACTCAATTTTATTCATCTTAATCCTCACTTTCTTCCTTTCATCATAAAGTTACATGACTCCCAAGCATTCCCTCGAGCTGATATTTTACCCACCTACCCTCTACCGCCTTAACGCTTCTCATAATACTACCTGAAACCATCTTTATTTTTGTCTCTTAAAACAAATTAAGTTTGTCCACCATGCTCTAATCTCCTCCTTGATGATGGCCCTTTACCCTGGTCATTCATTCTTCTCACATGCCTACTAACGATCTAACTATCCATCAACATTTATTGTATCTTCCCCCCTACTACCCTCTTTCATCGCATACAACACTGTTGTAGAGGTGTTGGAGACAACATCGACTTTGAAAACTAAGGATCTCTCACTTCCCATACCATGGGGGCCTTTATCCTAAACTGGAAGGAAAACAACTTGTCTTAATCATCGTCGATCTCGCTAGAGAAGATCTAACAAAAATTGAGGTCGAACAAACCTTGTCCACAAACTGTGTGGTTCTAACCTTTACTCAATCTATTCCAACTCCCACTCATCCCACACTTGAGATTCAAAGTGTGCTTGGATTGCTATTCAAAACCAACCAATGCAACAAAAACGTCAGAGAATCGAAAAAGTTTCTTTTCACTCTTTTGCCCCTATAAAAGTACTATTGCCCTAGTATTGAGATTGTGAGACGATTCTGAGCTAGGAGATAGCCTTTTCATTGAATTTTGATCTGTTACCAGCATCAGAACAAGAGATTTGCATCGATTATTCCTATTTTGAGTGGCCCCTTTATTCAAGCATGTTGGTAGTCGGTCCTTCATAACTTAACCTTACTAAACAAAGTGGATTGATGAATTGGTCTAAATTCCTCCGCCAAACCGGTCCACTAACCTAAGGGCATATAGGTCTTATCATTCTCTCGCTTCTCTTTGTAGTCTTGACAAATTTGGACCCCTCATCATCCAGCATGTTAACATTACCCATCTACTGCCATTTCACCATTTTTCTCTACTAGGAACTTTTGCCCCCATAATCCCAGGTCTTTTTACCTTCTCCCCCTCTCTCTTCTCCTCCCTCATTCCTTCTCTTACACTTTTCTGCGCTAGACTTTCAAGGTTAAATTTTAGTGTTAACCAAACCCTTAAATAAAATCACCCCTCTCCACTACCATAGACACTAAATCTTCCCCCCACCCCCACCCCCACCCCTCTAACATACACCTTTACTCTACCATTATCCGCTTGGTTATAGTAAAGATCAATGAAACCTCCACAAATATTCCCAGCTTTTTTGAACAATTCATAACAGTAATACCACAACTGTCGGCATTCTGGCAACATTTATGACCATGAAATCTTCCTTTTTCTTTGTTCTTCACATCTTTTTATCTCCCATCTTTCCAATCAAATAGTTATCGCTCATCCATCTCACAAACTTACCCAGTACACGCATAACTTCTGCCTCAAAAGCAAATTGATACGAAAATATGTCATCCTCCATAGGTGACATTTTCAACCCTGATGGCCCTTCCAAGCCTCCACTGGTCAATCAGTTACTAGCTCTAATGATCTCATCTTCTTCTCAAAAGTCCCAATCAAACAGGTTCAGAGATACTCCGTCCTTGCCAGTAACTAATGATTTGATTGTTTAAAAATGAGTTTAAGCTCATTGTCCACTCTCTTCCATCCCCCCTATAAAGACAGTCATCCAATCAGAGTCTCCTTGTTTGAACGAAAGTTTAGTCTTCTTCCCTCTAAAGAGAACTAGGAGTCTAGCCATCTTTCTACTTTTCTCGGACCTTCATGTATAAGACATGTCACTAACAGATAACTACTCTAGATCTTTTGTTGGTAACAAATAATAATGGAACTAAAAAATGAAATCAAACAGAAAAATCTAGAAAAGATAAGACAAATGTTCCCAGGAGAGAAGAGATTCTATAGAGATAATACCACAATCATCATGGGCATACTCATCTGCAAAGTAATCCAACAAATATTTTCTTCTACAAGTTGACAGCATGCAGTAATGTTGTGCAGCAGAAAATGCTTCCGTAATAGCTTTTCTTTGAGATGCCTGGCCATAAGTCACAAGTATACCTGGATGTGTAATAGCGGTAAAGAGACAAATGCAAGAATACAGTCCTTTTGAACAGGGATGATAGAGTAACATACTGAACGAGCTTCTGCAGAGTAGAAATCAGCTTTTGCAAAGTCACTTCTTGTGAAGTAAAGCCAGCAAGCTGAAGGAACGCCATCTCTACCGCATCGTCCACTTTCCTGGTAGTAAGACTCCAGACTCTTTGGGCAGCCGTAGTGTATCACATACCTTACGTTTGGTTTATCTATACCCATGCCAAAAGCAACAGTTGCAACCATGACATAGAATTCATCTCTGATAAATGACCTGCAATAAGAATTGTAGCCTATACTTCACCCATGACCAAACACTAATGACTCCGGAAAAAAAAAAAAACTAAAGAAAGCAGATAAATTGGTTTCTGCGGTAGACTTAGGAAGGCCAATTAATCGCCCATACTAGCTTCGAAAGCAAAAGAGCTGAATGAAGAATGATGAAACCTATGAGCCTCCTCACGTGCTTTATTAGCCACTTGACCATGGTAGATACCAGCTTTGATTCCTGCCTCAAGAAGTGATTTGAAGATCTACAAAAACCATGATAATGGTAAATAGGTCATAGCAGCATTGAGTCACTAGTAAAGCATCATGCACTGTTATGATATCATAAGAACAGCAACAGATCCAATGACTTGACACTATTATGCAACAAGAAGGATCAACAGTCTGTCGAAATTAAGAACTCTATCAGAACCTAGCAGGCTAGCACATGGAGAAACAGAGTAAAGAATAAATGGAACTACTAGGAGGAGAAAAACGTTCAGCATTTTCTCAAGTGAAACAAACTGTAAGTGCCAAGCAAGCCAAACTTCATGCATCTAACCACAAACCTTTAGAAAAGACATTGAAGACTAATACTTTGAACATTTCTACTCATTAAGAGATGTAATCAAAGCACGTCCACTGGAAACATATCATACTAGAATGCTAAGAATGTCCCAAGTTGGCAAAACAGAGATCATAGTTTTAACATGGCAGAGATGAAATGTGACCTCTTCAGTGTCTTTGACAGTTGTACAATATACTATTGTTGAATTTGCATTATCTACATATTTAGAGATCTCCTCCACCAGCTGATCAACAAATTGAGAACTACGACTAAAAGATTTGACTCCGTAAAAAAGATTTTTGCGATCAAATGAGCCAATAGCAACATGATGGTCTTTCATCAGCAAGGAGTTCATAATGTCACTCCGAACTCTGAAAATAAAGAAAAGAAATGATTATTCATCCAAGGCTTCAACGAGCCAAAAGAAGAGAAGAAAAATTAAGAAATACAAAGTGGTGTGTGAGCTTATATATACTGGTCCAACAAAGCTATAGTGCAGGTTCAATATTTTTATTACCCGGTAAATGACACTCCATTCTATGAGAGACGCAATAAATACTTTACAGTGATTAGAAGTGGTGACTAGTTTAACCAAAGGCATAAATAGCATAAACTGATCCAGCTTAACTCATAACAGAAGCATACTACAACAACAATGCTTGAAAATTAGGACTAACAGTCAAGAGACGGCTAACACAATAGAATCAACTGTTAGATCCAAGAGAAGCGAGGTAAGGTGGTATAGTTGAGGCTGATTTCTCAAAGTAAAGCTAGCTAACAGTTGAGCTTGGATATAAATTTTCCTTGTATTACTGGGAACCAGCCAATTCACTTTAGTAAACTTCCCTAAAGTACAGTTGTAGATTACATCAAACACTGAAGACACAACCAAACAGTAGAAATTAACATATAAAATAGTGTTTGGTAGAAAGTCTACTGTATGGTCCAGACACTAACAAGCAGCAAGGAAAAAAAATTATGAGATGGACCAAGATTGCAGAGAAGAAACTACATCCAATTAGATATCCTGTCAACCTTGTTTCTGAAGCAGAACATGACCCAAAAATCAATAGAAAAGAAGAAATCGGGGAAGTTATGGAAAAGAAATTTAAGAGAAAAAAGTTAGAGAACTTGAAAAAGTATTTACTTTTCTGTAGCAGTTGCTGTCAAGCCAACAAATGGAACATTCAAAAGAACATTACGCAGCTTGTCCAATTGCTTATATTCAACCCTGCAAAGGAGAAAAGCAAGTTTCTTTAGACAATAGGTAAAACGTAAAAGGGAAAAGAGATATTATAATTCTTACGATCTCTCCTCCAAATAGATCCCATCGATTTCATAGCAGAACTTATCTCTTCTGGAGGTTCTCTTGAGACAACCATGCTTGATGAGACACCATCCAAGAGAAGCAAGTCGCTTTCAAAAGATGTTTCAGATTTCCAGAACTTCCTCTACCTTGCTGCATTGTACTGTCCATCCCTTTGTAAGAGCTAGGCTGCATGTCGTAACAGTAAACATCCCTATCCTTGTGCATTCCACCCTAGAATCTCGCTCTATTCTAGAGAATTAAAAGACTGCTACTTTCAAGCACCCAGTAGTTCAAGTTTCTTCTCAACCTCATATCCTATCCCTTGACATTGCACCGAGATAAATTTGAATTACTATGAAGCTGAGGAAATTGCTTCTTTCTGGGGATCTGCTATCCAGTTGTCAACAAAGAAGGATATTTCTTCTGTCATCTATCCACACAGCAATTGCTTCTTGCTGGTAACTTTATATAAATGTTACTTTTACTGATCAAAAAAGAAAAACATATATCCTTCTATCGTTTCCAATTTAAAAACCCGCTCTTTCCTCAAAATCTAGTGACATAACCATATGATTTTCCAGCAACCCACCCATAAGTTCTTGCAGTGCTTTGGTACACCGTACACCATTCCCCTAGTGATCCTTATTTCTTTATCAAACATATCCACAAGGAATTCCCCTATTTACTGAACCTTCAAAGACACTTCTTTAGGAAGCATCTGTTTTGGGTACTAATTAGATCCTTCTTTTAACACAGGAGGGACCTTTCCATTCTTTATCCGCAGTCTTCCTTAATCTTGAACCCATTGTAATAATTCCCTATTTCATCAAATGGTAATTTTTCACTTTGCTAGGTATCATTTCATCACATACCACTCCACCAACACTGCTGCAATTTAAGTAATTAAATTTCAATGCTATGTATTACAACTTCACTCTTCATCAATCATTTGGTTCTCCCGTCAAACAGAGTCCACATGTTAGCATTGTATACATTTAGGTACTTTTCCTATTTCACTTCACCTTCATTTGTAGGGGACTACTTCCAATTTTATGAATTATTTCTACCTCTCATAAAATCATTATACTCTAGAGTGGTTCTCCATATGGTGAGAAAAAAAATGAACATTTAACCAAGAACAAAAATGGGTACCAAGGTATTTAACTATAATTGTTTCCCATTTATTAGCTAGGAAAAACTGTACAACTAAAAAAATATAATCTTCTTGAGCTTTATTTATCTTCAGCCACTGCTTTTCATATCTCTAAATTGAGATTTTTTTTTGAAGCAACAAACCATACACAGGCAAGATACTCAAATAATACTTCTACTAAAGTCCTTGCCAAATGGACCAGAGAATCCATGAAAAATTCGAAATGTCAAAATATTAGGATAATGTGGTAAAAGGGTCTAACCTGAAATCATGACCCCATTCTGAGATGCAGTGTGCTTCATCAACAGCCAAGAGACACATCCCTGCTTTCAACAATCTTGACCAGAAACTGCAGCACGTTGTGCGAAAAGCAGATGTATAGTTAAAGATGCTAAACTCATTGGAAAAAAACATCTTAAAGATTCTTAACGTGAAAATCATCATTATTTCCAAGTAAAAACCTTGATAAGTGAATGACGGAAAACAATAAAAGCAACAACAGCAAAAATAGTTCACAACAATAGTCAGTCGAAACCTTAACTTAACTGTTTACTGAAAAGTTACAGTAATTTTCTACATGAGCCAAATAGGTACATCTAAGACTGAAGTAAGATTCATGCAAAAAGGTGAAGATGAAATTGAAGGCATCCATCAAAAATATTGGAGCCTAACAAGTTATACAGAAAAATCCTCTTGCCCACAACTTGATATGAAAACTCACATCTGGAGTGAAACTAATCTAAAAACTTGTAGAGAGAAATCATGTATCTTGATGAATTTTTACAGGAAATATAGTATCTGAATAACTGGATATTTGACAAGGCTACAGAAGTAATAAGAATATAAAAGTATTATTTCCCAATTGGTATTCAAGGAGCTTTTTCACTTAGAGACCGTCTTTCCAGATTACACACCTGATAGGAAGAGCACAAGCCTTTTCTGGAGTCATATAGAGAATATCATAGTGACCCAACTCAGCATTGGACTGCACCCCACGATCAGTCTGAGCACTTGAAAGATAGTCAGCTTTAATGCCCCTCTGTTTTAATGTCATGACCTACAACAGGACATTATATCTTTTCAGAAAATATATATATATATATATATATATATATATATATATATATATATATATATTATGCTATGAGCAATACAAAGTATTTTACCTGATCTTGCATCAAAGAGATGAGTGGACTTATAACAACAGCAACCTTTCCGGTTATCAGTGGGGGAATCTGATAGCTTAAACAAAAAATTCAAGCAAAATGTTGTGAATAGTTTCTAAAATATTGACCAAAAAAAAATAGTTGAAGCTTACCACAATGATTTGCCACTACCGGTGGCCATTATAACCAAACAGTCTTTTCCATCTAAAATCTTCTCAATAATTTCCTTTTGATAAGGTCGAAACTCAGTGTATCCAAAATATTTCTAAAACCATATGAAACCAAAATGTCATCAAAACAAAGGCAGAAATACTAATAACAAAATACATGTGCTGTGGGTTGAACAAAAAAAAAACTTTAAACTTAAATCAGGAAATCAAAAGATAGGTTAATGAAGGGAAAAAATGAAGAAAACCTTAAGTGTAGACTTCATGTCCATTATCAAGAGGAGCGAATCGCCGTGAACGTTTCTTACTTTACGGCTAAGAGGTAGTAAATGGTTTATAAGGTTTTAAAATAAAATGGGCCGTCATATAAGTTTTAACTATTGTGTGTAACTGACACTTATATGATTAAAGTTGATATTTTGGTCCATTAAATTAGATGAATGGTAATTGACTAAAATCTAATTTAATCAATTTTGATGGGAATTGAAATTGGGGGAAGCCACCAGCAAGCTGTATCAGAGGGGAAATAAATTATTTTTCCCCACCTCTCGTCATATTTTTTTTCTTCCTCTTCTTCTTTTTCGTCGTTCTTGCTTGCTTGATTGTCTTTCTTCTCGTTCTCTTTATCTTTTCTTCTTCTTTTCGTACATTATTGGTCTTGGTTGCTAGTCCTTGAGCTTTCTTCTTTTCTTCTTCTTAAATCAGATTTAACTAATTTAATCAATGGATTAGATTTTGGTTGCTCTCAATTGAAATTAAATCATAAATGATTAGGGTCACACACCATTGTTTTGATATGTAAAATTAATAGTTGTTTGAAATCATTCATCATCATTTGGGCACCTGCAATTTTTTCAATAATTTGCATTAGCATGTCCAACAGATTATTATATGTTGCAACAATTGACTATTGAAACAAATTATAGGCATATGTAGCAACAGAAAGATTATTTCAATAGCAACACAATTGACAGATTTGCAACATATAACTTACACAAGCTGCAACATATAACTTACACAAGTAGCAACTTATGACTTGCATGTCTCAATCGACATGATAGTTATATAATACCATTGTAAATCATTGTTTTAAGTGTTATATCATATTTTTATTGTTTAATTATGGTTTAAAGTACAAAATTTTTATCTAAGTTGACATTTTTTCATCCCTAAATTGCTCAATTTATCGATTAAGTCATCCTTGAAGTGACACATGTGGCAACATATGCACGTTCTGTTGAGAAAATTGCAACAGATATGTCATATGTGGCAACATATGCACGTCCTGTTGGAAAATTGCAACAGAAATATCATATGTGGCAACATATGCACGTCCTGTTGGAAAATTGTAATAGAAATATCATATGTGACAACATATGCATATCATAAAATGATCTTTTGGGGGTTAATTCAATTAGATTGTCACCTAATTCAACATGTAACGCTAATATATAGTCCTATAACATGTCTAAGTACAAAATCATGGTCTAATACAACAACATTCATTAATTCTATCAATTATTTTTACAAAGACTATCAATTACCACTACTTCATCATACAATGACCAAGTAACTATATATGATAGTTATATCATATTTTTATTACTTAATTATGATTTAAAGTACTAAAATTTTGTCCAATTGACATTTTTTCATTCCTAAATCGCTCAATTTATCGATTAAGTCATTCCTGAAGTGACATATATGACAACATATGCGTGTTTGGTTGGGGAAATTGCAACAGAAATATCATATGTGGCAACATATGTATATCATAAAATGATCTTTTGAGGTTAAGTCAATTAAATTGTCATCTAATTCCACATGTAACACTAATATATAATCATATAACATGTCTAAGTACAAAATTATGGTCTAATACAACAACCTTCATCAATTCTATCAATTATTTTTACAAAGACTGTCATTTATCACTACTTCATCATACAATGACCAAGTAACTACATATGATAGTTATATAATACCCTTGTAAATCATTGTTTCAAGTGTTATATCATATTTTTATTGTTTAATTATGGTTTAAAGTACTAAAATTTTGTCCAATTGACATTTTTCATTCCTAAATCGCTCAATTTATTGATTAACTTATTTTTAAAGTGACATATGTGACAACATATGCACGTTCTGTTGGGAAAATTGCAACAGAAATATCATATGTGGCAACATATGTATATCATAAAATGGTCTTTAAGGGTTAATTCAATTAAATTGTCATCTAATTCAATATGTAACGCTAATATATAGTCCTACAACATGTTTAAGTACAAAATTATAGTATAATATAACAATCTTTCTCAATTTTATCAACTATTTTTACAAAGGTTATCATATCACTAGTTCATCATACAATGATCAAGTAACTTCATATGATAGTTATATAACATCGTTGTAAATCGTTGTTTCAAGTGTTATAGCATATTTTTATTGCTTAATTATGGTCCAAAGTACTAAAATTTGATTGAATTTGACATTTTTTCATTCCTAAATCTCTCAATTATCGATTAAGTCAACCTTTAAGTGACATATGTGACAACATATGCACGTTTTGGTGGAAAAATTGCAACAGACATGTCATATGTGGCAACATGTACATCTTAAAATTTACTTTTTTCGAGATAATATTTCAAAAGGAATAACAACCTAACCATCCTACAAAAAATAAGTGATAAAAACCACTAAAAAGTCTTATTTAATACAAATAACTATTATATTTTATATTAGAAGATATCAACGATAAACAAGAAATGATGAGAACAACAACGCTTTGTTGTAGAAGAAAATCACAACATATTAACCCTGATGTTGTGAAAAACATAACAACAATTTGAATTATAAATAAACAATGGAACGAGAGAAAGGAAAGAGAGAGAGAAGAAAATGAAAATTAGTAAAAATAAATTAAATTTGAAATATGAAACAAAACGATCTTTTTATACCTTTTTATTTTATTTTTTTAATTCTTTTTTATAATTCATAGTGTGACATCTGTTGCCACATATATCCTTTTTGTTGGGGTAAATGCAGATAATTTTATAATTTTTTTACAACAAATGTGATATATGTTGTCACAGACACCACATTGGTAACAATAAAATGTTGACACATATCTCCTTTCTGTGACATATGTTGTCATATATATTTTTTCTGTGACATATGTTGTCATATATCTTCTTTCTGTGACATATGTTGCCACATATATTTTTTATGTGACATATGTTGCCACATATCTTTTTTCTGTGACATATGTTGCCACATATATCCTTTCTGTTGGGGCACATGTAGATTGA